GTGTGTGTGTGTGTGTGTGAGAGAGAGAGGAGGTTGTGTTGTGTTCAGTGTCAGCAGCTCTTGATGGGGTGTTTTTTCGTTTGTTTCTCCACATGAACTCCTCTCAGCTCCGGCTCTGAGTTAGGGTCACTAATAATGTGCGTTTGAGAACACAACACTCCTGCGGTTTTCTGACTAAATAAAACCATGATCGTTTTAAGCTTGAAAAAGAGAGAAAATAAGACAATTATAAATATTAGTATTGTAATTATTTTGTACTGTAAAGTAAAATGAATAATTTTTTCTTCATGAATAATTTTTTTACAGAAATCATTCCTAAAAGAACTTTGAAACTTTGGTTTCAGACTAAATAGTTTACAGTGTTCAGTTCATTCTGTCGTCAGACGGACTGCTAACAACAAACACAAAACTTTGGAAGTGGTCAGTGTTTCTGTCCGTTCAGTGACAGTCAAACAGCTTTAGATCTGACTGACTGCACACTTTATTTTCAGAGTTTTTAAAAAAATTTCTGCACTCCTTTTTAATGGTTAAGTGAAACATGTCTAATTAATTAAAATCATGAAACTTAAACAATTTAACATAAATTTATTAAAAGTTGAACACAAATGACATGTTTAGGGCCCTATTAAATGTTTTATTTTTTCCAACCTTATGTTTTATGGATACCAAATTCTGTTTTAGCACGTCAAATATTTTGAAAGCATAAAATCAAGTTTGAAAGCCTTCAGGACGTCTCTGTCTCACACAAACCCCAGGCCTGTCCGACAGAGAACAAACAGACTCCGAACCTCCGTTGTCTGTTTTCTTCTAATGAACTGGTCCTGTGTGGATGTCGCGTCACACGTGATTGTTTGCTGTTGTCCTGGAATGCGTCTAGACGCTCGTCTATGGGAACGTCTCGACTGAAAAATGAAGCGATAGAGTTACGATGCTCAGATTGACTCGTGTGTTTCTGTGTGATCTTGATGAAAGACTCGTTGTGTCACCTGATACGGAGCGTGTGTGTTTGATGCTGTCAGGTGCTCAGTTTGGAGCGGCTCATTGGCTGATCTGATCGTGACAGCACTTCCTGTGTCTGGAAATCTCTCTTCTGATTGGCTTCTGAGTGTGTCTGGACACTTTCTTCCCATTCAGCTGGACACTGTGTTATTTTAGTACTCTTACTATACTATTATATAGTGCTGTCCAATGATTAATCGCGATTAATCGCATCCAAAATAAAAGTTTTGTTTACATAATAAATTTATGTGTACTATGTTTATTTATTATGTGTGTATATAAATGCACACACATACAGTATACATTTAGAAAATATTTACATGTATATAAATTTATATTATATAAATATATTTAATATATAAACATAACATTTTTCTTAAATATATACATGCATGTGTTTGTATTTATATATACATAATAAATATATACAGTACACACATATATTATGTAAACAAAAACTTTTATTTTGGATGCGATTGATCGCAATTATTATAGTTTTATTGTAGTTTATAGTATTTAGATATGGCTAGTATTTTTACTTTTATTAATTACGTCATTTATTTTATTAAATGTATTTATATTTGCAGTATTCATTTGAACAAATTATTATTATTATAAATAAATAAATATTTATTTATTTATTTTAAGTTAAGTTTTACTTTTGGTTGTTTGAGTACCAACTTTAAACTTAAACGAGTTATAAATGTTGCCTTGGCCACTAACTGAAAAGTTTTTCCATCCAATATTTGTATTTATACATTTTTCATCTAATATTTAGTTTTTTATATCATACTAATATTTATTTATTTTGCATTATTTCAGCTTTATCTCATTTACTGAAAACGATTTTTTATAATATTTTTTATAATAAGCATTTTTAATAATTTGTTGATAAAAGAGTGGGCTTTTCCTGAGCGCGGTCAGCTGAACTCTGTCTACGCATGAAAGTGTTTGTAAAATCTTCAGAGAAAGCTCATTTAGTATCAGCTTGTGTATTTGTTGTAATAGTCACTCGCACACATAGAGGTCTACGGAAGTCATATTAAAGATGATCGTAAATGCTGTACACACATGAGAGATTAGAGAGGATTCGAGCGCTGATAAAACATCTACAGCACATCTCATAAACATATACAAGATACGCTTCCAAACAAGTCCCCATTAACATTCATCTTTACATTTTGCGTTTTACTCTTTCCTTTTTTTTTATCAAACTCCAAATCTTTTATCTTCAGGTTCAAATAAGATTTTCAATCCAATATTTTCAGTGTGATTTTAGATGCACTGTATATATGAAAACGTACTGTTGTAAAACACACTGACTAATGATGTGCGGTAGCAGCGTTTGTAATGATGAAGTGATGAATGCTCCACAGCATTTGTGATTTAAAAACAGACGCGTGTGAACTGTAATATGTACAGTATGTGAATAAAAAAAGTCCTAAAATGTTTTCCTCATTCCTCATGCGTTCCTCATGTTTTGTTTAACTTTTAGTACCTTTTTAATAAATAATTTATTTAAAAAAAAAATTAATAATTTTCAGTACTTTTTTTTTGCCTTTGTCATTTTTCTTATTTTAAATTTTTTTTCAATTATAGGTTTAGTACTTGAAATTAGAAGAGTCAACAATGTCGATATGCTATTATAGTATTTGTTAATATTTTTAATTAGGTTTTAATTTTTTTGTTAAGTTTTAGTAATTTTATTTGCATTTATAATTTTTCGTAGTTTTTAAAAATTATTTATATTTAGCTTTCACTTAATCAATTTTAGTTTTAGTACTTGGTTATGAATGTTGCCTTGGCGGTTAACATGTTAAAATGTTTAAGTTTTTTAATCTAATATTTACCAAACTAAATGGTTTTCATTAACAGTAACAACACCACTGTTGTAGTATCATTGATATAATATTATATTATATTGTATTATATCATATCATATCATATTTTTAATTAGATTTTATTTGATATTTTCTGCTTTCATGTTATTTTTAAAGTTGCAGTAATTTAAATTTTTTTTTTTTCGTAATATGTTTTAGTTTTTGTTGTTTTTAAATATATCTATATAATTTTAAAAACAAATTTGTTTGTTTTAGCACATCAAGTTAAATTAATCTAATCTGAAAAAGTTTTTTTGTTTTGTTTTTGCGATTAATTTCAGTTAAAATGTATTTTAAGTAATGCATATGTTTTTATTTATTATGTTTTTAGTTTCAGTTAACCGTAATTACCCTGAACATCACAGCTTTTAATGTGCGCAGGTTGTCATTTTTCTCTTACAGTAATTCAGGTACCGTGTCTTTACGCCCATGCCTGACTGACGAGAAACCGTCAGGAGTTTCCTGTTATTCTTGCTTTATTTACATGTTTTTCACATCATATAATTATGTGTTTGTCTTCCTGAGCATCTGCGCTCTTTGTGTGCATGTCTGCTGTTCTCTTTGTTGTGTA